TAGGATACAATCAGATGAACACATTAAAGAAACTGGCCAAACTCTCACAGTTTTTTCTTCCCAAGGCATGTACTTTGATGGCGTTCTGCTGAGCTGGGTGGGCCTAAATCTCTCTCTCTCTCTCTCTCTCTCACACACACACACACACACAATAATTAAAGAGGCCACAACTTTATTGATCACAGCAGCAGTTGTCCTGGCAAAGCATTGGGTTGGATCCACTTCATGGGGGGACCCAAATGCCCCCCCTAATGCAAACTACCACCTCCTTGAGAGACCTCTGGGGTGGCAGTTCCCTTGGGAGGCCACGAAGATGTAAGCCACTCTGTGGCTCCCCTGCCTCCTACGGTGGGGACAAATCCCCCCCACCAGGTGGGAGAGATCCTCCCTTGGGAGGCCACGAAGATGTAAGCCATCTGTGGCTCCTCTGCCTCCTAGGGTGGGGACAAATCTCCCCCCCCACCAGGTGGGAGAGATCAGGGACCCCACCCAGGATCCCATGTGGGGATTTGGGGTGGCAGTTAGACATGCAGGTCGCCACCTGCTGTCCAACAACTGGCTGGATTCTTCCCAATGCCTGAAAATGCCCAACCAAATTATGATGAGTCAACATATAAAACTAGAAAACCCAACAGAGTAACATTCAAATCAACATGTAACCAAAAGAAGTTAATGCAACCAGCTAGGGTGGGTGGGGAGAGGGACTTGTGCTCTGGCAAACTGAGGCTCCCTGCCTCAGCTCGCCCCTTTAAACTGTGCTGGCGCACTGGACTGGAAACCCCATCCCTCAGGTGCACCGGCAAGCAGCCCCACACCTGTTGCCCTGCATCAGCCAATCCCCATAGGAGGTGGTGTCATTGGGCCAGGCACGGACCTTCCCTGGCCCCTTTGCTGCTCACCATGTGGCGTCCGCCATCTTGTTTGTTTCCCAGCTGCCACAGGAGAGCCCTAGCAGCCATTCTGGTCTTAACACGGGACTGAGTAAGTCCAGGTCTCTACCTTACTTTAAGCACACTAATAAACTTCCACAGTTTATAAAGCTCAATAATCAGAGTTTGTAGTACCCATGAAAAGATTCCTACAGAAGCCAGCATGGAAGGGATTACGAACTTCATTATTTAGCCTTAGGAGAACAACTGGTAAATAACTAGTCAAAGAACAATGAATCTCAGGTACCTGCCCTTTAAAGACGGCTGGTTGTTGTCACTGTCCAACAAACTGCACTGGGTCAAAGCACGTATGTGAGAGCATGCAGAATTTCTTATAAAAATAAGTTAACTACAGTTAGAATTCCAAGACCTCTAAAAGTGGCTACCATTATAAAAAATAGTTACTTTTGTTTTTTTAAAAAACCCATAATTTTCTTGCCTCAAAATACTATTTTTTTCTAATTAAAAAACAGTCTGAGTACTGTAAGTCACAAATCTAGCATACAAAGCACACTTTCTTAATGTCTGTCCTGTCATCACCTCAGCACCCAAAGTCAAACATGAGGCACAGTGCTTGAACCTTATTGTACTCCCCTTTCTAGTACTCCATCTATTCTAGCCTCAGGCGCATGATATATGGGGAGTTCCTCCAGGCTAAGTAAGGCCACCATTTAGTGAGGGTGCACACTCATAAACAAAAAGCAACTTTTAAAAAGTTACCACTACACTCAGAAGGACTGAACTGATATACTGTATCATTAAGTTATTGCCATAATGAAACTTAGTTGCAATTTTTTTATTGGGGAAAAGAAATAATTACAAGTAATTAGTTACGTATTTGTACCCAGTTAATTCCCTGCTCTTATTTATAACTAGTTCTTTCCCTGCTCTGCATATAACACACACCTTCCATTTTCTGCTCTTTATCTGAAAATCCAGAGTGCAGCAGCTGTGTAGTCTCTGTACTCAAGGAAGAACAGTGGAAAATCTGTGTTCTTGCTTACATCTATAGCCCACACAGAGGCAACAGCTTCTTCTCTTCAGATACATCACTCTGAGAGTGAAGAGAGGAACAGCAGAGATGTGAAGGTTTAGCTCTCTGATATACTGAGTAGGTGGGTACCAACTGAACAGGGCTAAAATGCAGTTCTGGCTTGTGTGGACAGGCTAGTGGGTAAGCAGCCTCTTTTCTTTTCAGAAAATCAGATTCCCCTGATTAAAGAGATGATGGAGTGTGGTTCATTCAGTACAAATAGGGCTAACATCTGCTGTGTAAAACCACAAGATTTTAATTCATTGTGACAGATAACACCATGTCAATGGAAACCTACAGGCTGGTTCACACATCTAGATTTGTTGCTTGAATATGAGAGTACCAACAGTGAATGAGCCATCAAGATCAACACTGTGATTATTTGTGACTCTTTGATTTATTGAATCACATCTCCACCCTCCCCATCAATCTAACATATAGTCAATGACACTACAGAGTAATAGTATTCAACATCATGTGTTGCCAAGTCACTTCTGACTTTATAGGGTTTTCCACTCAGAAGTGTTTTCCCATTTTCTTGGGGGCACCTTGAAACTGTGAAGCTTGCCCAAGACCACATAGGCTGGTTCTACTCACAGGACGCATAGTGGGGAAGTGAACTCCCAAACTCTCGCCCCACAGCCAGATATCTAAATCACTGAACTCGCCAGCCAGCTTGATATTACAAAATACACTGCCAAACAAGTAGAAGATTGTAATCTAGCGCATAGTGGGGAATTGAACTCCCAAACTCTCGCCCCACAACCAGATATCTAAATCACTGAACTCTCCAGCCAGCTTGATATTACAAACTACACTGCCAAACAACTAGAAGACTGTAATCTAGGCCTTATAGTCACAGGAAGCACACAAGAGATTAATTTAAGTAGAGGCTGATAGACATGCTGCAGCTCCCTCCTGTGTGCAGAATTTGCACTGAGAATAGCGGGGGTGAAGACTAGACACATTCCCAAAAAATCAAACTATATGATTCTAGAAAGCATAAATTACAACAGGGCTCAGGCAAATTCCTTTTTTGAATAATATCTCCCAAAGGAACAGCTAGGAGATTCTTGGAGTTGTCATTTGAAAAAAAAATTACTGTTTAAAGTTGTCAAATAGAGCAATAACTATAAAGAATATCCTATAGGGCATTTCATTTTTTTTCTTGCATCAGACCTTCTTCCACTTACAATTGTTTTGATTTTTTTTCTTGCTGTGCCCACATCTTCCATTTAGGGAATTGTGATCACAATTTCTTTGTGTGCACCTGAGAGCCACAGTCTATGAGAGGAGTGAAAACCTCAATCTTGAGTTTGTTGTATATGAGCCTTGTGGTGCAGATATGAGCCTCATGGTACAGTGGTTAAACTGCAGTACTGCAGCCAAAACTCTGCTCATGACCCAGGTTCAATCCCAGGTAGCCTGCTCGAGGTTCACTCAGCCTTCCACTCCTCCAAGGTTGGTAACTGAGTACCCAACTCAAATAGGGGGGAAACATGTAGCATGCATAATTAAATCAAAAACCATCCAGAGTGCTTTAAGTGCTATGGGGCAGTATATAAGCAGCACACTTTGCTGTGCACACTTAGTTGTGTTTTTTCCCAAATCCACCTGCATTCCCATCCCATCCTTTGTTATTTTCCCCCCAAACTGAAATTCATGCACAGTTCCCATACACTGTTTCTGTAAAGGGCTTTTTATTTATTTTACACTTTTCCTAATGTACCAATTCTTGCAGTTTACTCATTTTGTAAACACTTCATTGAGTTACTTGTATGTATTTTTGACAGTATACACATTTAGCCTTTCATAATGAAAATGAAAGCATGATTTTGTTCATACATTTTAAAACAGCAAACAACTGAAATGGATACAGTTGGAGAATGCACAAGAATGTAATTACTCAATGGAACAGCAAAGGGAGAATTTACACAAAATTCCTATTGTACACAAAAATGCATGCATTAGGAAAAGTGTATAAACAAAGGTATATGGTACAGAAAATATGAAATGGACAGGAATGCAGATGGAGTTTGAAGAAATACTATAAATTTTACAATGAGAGGTTTCATATCTCTAACAGAACCTGACTCTCAAATGCATGCAAATAAATTGTGAATTCTATTTGACCCAAATTTACTGTGAGCCTTGTAAACGTCTGAAATTTAAAGAATACAGCATATAATAGGAATCATGCTATGCACTCACTCCAGACCTGGGAGGGCTAAGGGCAAACTTGGAGGCCACCCCGACCCCTATGCCCCCAAACTCCCTCAAGTTGTGTTCAAAAATCCTGTTGTGTCAGTTAGGTTTTGGGGTCAATTTGGCCAGGTCCTCCCAAGCTCTTTAAGGAAGCAATATTTTTCAAGACAGTTCACATGAGGCAAAATTGGTAAACTTGGTAAAATTGTCCCAGTGACACTGAGGCTCTTCAGATGCTCATGTGGCCCTCCAGATGCATTGGAGCTAGTATTCCCCACATTTCTGACCATGGGCTATATACCTGTAGTTGACAGGAGTCAAAATCTAAAAGAGCTGAAGGGTACCAGGTTGAAACTTAATGATCTAGAGCTGTGGTTGTGAGTCTTGGATCCTCATATGTTTTGGACTACAACTCTCAGAAATCCTGGTCAGCACAGCTAGTGGTGAAGGCTTCTGAGAATTTTCATCCAAGAACATCAGGGGATCCAAAGTTGGGAACCACTATTGTAGAGCAGTGGTCCCCAACCTTGGGCCTCCAGATGTTTTTAAACTACAATTCCCAGAAGCCTTCACCACCACCCCTGCTGGCCAGGACTTCTGGGAGTTGAAGTCCAAAAACATTTGGAGGCCAAGGTTGGGGACCACTGGTGTAGAGGACCCTGATTGAAGAAGTCTGATATCTTGACACTTCACATTTTGTTTACATTTCTGTCAGCTTTGTAGCCCGTGTTGATATAGTACGATTTTACTGCACTGTTCTAGAGCATCACCATAAGAAAGAATAGTAAACAATTTCCAAGTATTTTATACCAATAATTTGCAACAACCATTACCTTTAATGATGACTTTGTCCGTGGTTCCGTCTTCTGTCTTGTGGGCGTACTTTTAATAAGCAGAGACTGATCTGTACGAGAATCATAATTCCCATGTTCTGAATCATCTGTATATATATCTTTCTCTCTTCCTATGTCTGAGAGGGGAAAAATACCAAAAACAGATGGACTCATTTGATATTACTATGGAGACATTCTAGCAACGATTCAAGAACAGATCTCTTAATTATCTGCTTTTAATACATTTGTCACATGTTCCTATGTCCTTTTCAGTAACCTATTTTTGAAGCAAAATGTGGTATTTACCATAAGCAACATTTTTGTTGTTGTAATGCTAGTAAGATTTCAGGAAACTATTCTGTTATACTCACATTATATGAGTGTAAAGGTGTTCCTCAGCTGCTAAATTTGTTCATGAGCTCCAGATGGAGTAACTAAAAATGAATGTGTGATAAACTGGATAGTGAGAAGTCTTGGGACTAGAGATGGGCACGAACCTCAATTTGGAGGTTTATGCCAGTTCATACACATGGCAGGTGCCTCATATTCCCTTCCCCTGCCTCCCCAGCCAATGCTCCATTCACCAGTCGACACGTCCTCCTCTCCTCCTCCTCTTTGGCTGTTTGACCAGTCCCAAGCAGGAATATGTACATGTTTGCTTGTCCTGCCTCCTTGTCTGAGTGGGTGATCAGCTGAGGAGGCAGGACAGGGAAGCTCGTGGTCCTGCTGGAGACTGGTCGAACAGCCGAAGAGGAGGAGAGGAGCGCACACTAGCTGGTGAGTGGGAGATCTAGCTGGGCAAGCAGGGGAAGGGAAGGAACTGGCATGAGCCTCTGAGCGGAAGTTTGTGCCCTTCTCTGCTTGGGACCAATATCTTAACTTGTTGACCCTGCTATCAAGGTGGGCAATAGAAAGTCCCACAAGCTCACATGTGGTATACTATTCCTGTATCCGCACTTGTAGCTGCCATGGTCCCCGAATGACAATAAAAGAAGAGTGTGTTACCTTTACTGAAGCCATTTTCTCTCTAAAACAACATGCACATTCTCTGTGTGCATTGTTTACAAGTGAAGTTATGTCCTCCAGAAGCAATAAATTAATTATAAACAAAGTATATTTCTTGATTTAAAGGGCAAAAAAGGTATTATTGAGGTAAACTGTATTTTCCCCCCTACTTCTTCATGGCAAAGGGTGGGGATGGTTTGGGGTCAGTGGCAGGGTTGTGGCTTCAGAGAGACACGAAGGTTGTTTATACCAGACTTCCATGACATTTTTGACACTGGAGAAAATAATAATAATTCTGATGCACCAATAGCAATAAAACTCCTTCTATAAGCAAATGGCAGAGAGCTAAAAACAAGACTTGGCCAATAGTCTAGTGCACACACACACACACACACCAAATCATATCCACCCACACACACACACACACACCAAATCATATCCACCAATTTATGCTGTGTATGATGACTTATGATAACTTCTTTATTGTTTTAAATTGCCCAGAAAACTGAATCACACCAATGGTGTGGTATATCAACAGTGTCACATACACAGCACCTTTTGCTCTACTGAGACTTCCACCAATGCATAGAGAGATGCTTACACAATGCATGCCGGCAAGGATTCCTTGATCTGAGCTGATTAGTTCAAGTAACCATTCCAGATATTTGTGAGATGTTGAATCAAATCACCAACATATCTCCCCCACTCTGGCTGCTCTGCACTGGTTTCCCGTCCGTTTCTGCGTTGACTTCAAAGTTTTAATGATTACATATAAAGCCCTAAACGGTTTGGGACCTCAATATCTGGCAGATCGTCTTCTCCCACCCAGATCTACCCGAATCACCCGACATAGCCAGCAGGGACGGCTGAGGGGTCTGACACTGAGGGATGTCTGGAAGGAAAAAACAAGAAAACGGTCCTTCTCGGCGGTGGCCCCTCGGCTGTGGAACACCCTCCCTACCGAAATTCGGCTGGCACCCTCACTGGGCATCTTTAAAAGCCAGTTGAAAACTTGGCTATTCAAGCAGGCCTTCCCTTCAGTCAGTTAAATGACTCTTATTTTTTTCTCTTTCTCTTTTGATTTACGCCATCTGGAACTATTTATTTTAAATTTAACTGTTAAATATTTTATATTGTTTTTAGTATATGTTGTGAGCTGCCCAGAGTATGGCATATAAATGCAATAAATAAATAAAACACCATAAGGCTCAGGTCTGGTGCTCTTCAAAATTTTTATTAATGATTTGGATGAGGGGGTGCAGGGAAAACTTATCAAATTTGGGGATGACACAAAATTAGATGGTATAATCTCCAATTCACATGAAGTACTAATTCCCCTCTATTCAACACTGGTTAGGCCTCCTCTTGAGTATTATCTACAGTCTTGGATGCAACATTTTAAGAAGGATGCAGACAAACTAGAAGAAGTTCAGAGGAGGGAAACCAAGTCCTATCAGGAAAGACTGAAAGAAACAGTCATGCTTAACTTTGAGAAAAGAGGACTGAGGGGAGAAATTATAGCATTTTTCAAATACTTGAAAAATCATATGGAGGGGCAGGATCTGTTTGCAAGCATCTCAGAGTTCAGGACACATAATAATGGGCTCAAGTTACAGGATGCCAGATTTTGGTTGAATATTAAGAAAAACCTCCTAATTGTACGAGCAGTTTGACAAAGGAACCAATTCCTTCAGAAGGTGGTGAGCTCTCCAGCATTTGGAGGTATTCAGGAAACAACCATCTAACAGATATACAGTACTTCGATTTGGCTTCCTGCATCAAGCAGGGGGTTAGACTTAGTGGCTTTATAGTCTTCTTCTAACTTCATTATCCTGATTCTACGAATAACCTTGGACAAAGGCTAGAAGGGATGCAGGAGAAGCCATTTGGTCACAATACAAATACCAAAAATTATATTGTGGTGATACTTTTATTAGATCAACTAAAAAGACAGAAAAATCTCTATACACACTTCTGGAATTTTAACAAAGATCTTCACAAGATATGCCGTTTAAAAAAAGTGGAGTTAGGGGGACTGATGATTAGAATGGTATAGTCTGCATGCTGTGTTAAGGTGTAAACTTCAATAAATTGGGTGTTAAGGCAGGGTTTTGGTCACTGGTTTTGGTTCTTTCAGGTATAGGTCCTTTTGATAAACTAACTAGAAGAAGTTCAGAGGAGGGAAACCAAGTCCTATCAGGAAAGACTGAAAGAATCGGTCATGCTTAACTTTGAGAAAAGAGGACTGAGGGGAGACATTATAGCATTTTTTAAATACTTGAAAAATCATATGGAGGGGCAGGATCTGTTTGCAAGCATCTCAGAGTTCAGGACACATAATAATGGGCTCAAGTTACAGGAAGCCAGATTTTGGTTGAATATTAAGAAAAACCTCCTAATTGTACGAGCAGTTTGACAAAGGAACCAATTCCTTCAGAAGGTGGTGAGCTCTCCAGCATTTGGAGGTATTCAGGAAACAACCATCTAACAGATATACAGTACTTCGATTTGGCTTCCTGCATCAAGCAGGGGGTTAGACTTAGTGGCTTTATAGTCTTCTTCTAACTTCATTATCCTGATTCTACGAATAACCTTGGACAAAGGCTAGAAGGGATGCAGGAGAAGCCATTTGGTCACAATACAAATACCAAAAATTATATTGTGGTGATACTTTTATTAGATCAACTAAAAAGACAGAAAAATCTCTATACACACTTCTGGAATTTTAACAAAGATCTTCACAAGATATGCCGTTTAAAAAAAGTGGAGTTAGGGGGACTGATGGTTAGAATGGTATAGTCTGCATGCTGTGTTAAGGTGTAAACTTCAATAAATTGGGTGTTAAGGCAGGGTCACTGGTTTTGGTTCTTTCAGGTATACTGTAGGACCTTTTGATAAACCTGAAAATATCTGACTCTTTCCATTCCTTTTGTTTTGGTTTTCCCATTTTATTTTCTGGTGTTATAGACAATTAAGCCCCATAGATACTCAAAATTGGTCCAAAAAAACAGGTACAAAACAATAATCATTTACTACAAAAGGAGGGAAATCAATACAGTACATTCAAAAGAAAAATCAGTCATCCAAATACCTATGCCTACACTAACAGTACTTTAAATTTCACAATTAACATAATATCACCATCTTCCTCATCCTCAATTTATCAGTAGGAAACAGGATAGATGAGAAAGAGATCATCACAATCACAATCAAAATAACACAGAGAGAGAATAAGGGCAATATAATCAACCTCCTCAACCCAAACCCACCCAAAACTTGGAACTGGGGGCACAGCTCTCCACATTTTAAGGGGTTCAGTGCAGCAGCACAGACAGTAGTTCACCAGGTAAAGGTCAGAAGGTCAGACAGGCAGGCACCTCAGGCAACATGACAGGGAATGAGGGGGAAACCCTCTAAAAATAAATAAAATAAAATGCCCAGAAAGTAGGTTTATTTTCTGGTGTTATAGACAATTAAGCCCCATAGATACTCAAAATTGGTCCAAAAAAACAGGTACAAAACAATAATCATTTACTACAAAAGGAGGGAAATCAATACAGTACATTCAAAAGAAAAATCAGTCATCCAAATACCTATGCAGACACTAACAGTACTTTAAATTTCACAACATAATATCACCATCTTCCTCATCCTCAATTTATCAATAGGAAACAGGATAGATGAGAAAGAGACCATCACAATCACAATCAAAATAATACACAGAGAGAATAAGGGCAATATAATCAACCTCCTCAACCCAAACCCACCCAAAACTTGGAACTGGGGGCACAGCTCTCCACATTTTAAGGGGTTCAGTGCAGCAGCACAGACAGTAGTTCACCAGGTAAAGGTCAGAAGGTCAGATAGGCAGGCACCTCAGGCAACATGACAGGGAATGAGGGGAAAACCCTCTAAAAATAAATAAAATTAAATGCCCCAAAAGTAGGGAATCCACTACATATTTTCCAGCCCCTTTTCAAGATTCCTACTCATGCTTTCAGGTTTTTCTCTGACTCCTAGTTAGCAGCTGGCTGCTGTTCTCACAAGACTGGCGATGCTACTCGTTGTTGGAGTATTAAATGGAGCGATTTTGCATAGGAGCTCAAACAGATATAATACAAAAGATGAAATA